TACGCAGCACGTGTCCCAACCAAAGCAGCTTCTGGTGCTGGACACATTTTCCAATGGAAGTACCCGTTGCACAACCGAAAACGCGCTTTCTAACTGTCTCGTTACGGATTCGCTGACACCAGCCCACACGAGCTATGGTTCTGAGACAACGGTTGTCGAACACCTGAAGACGTCTCAGTTCCGCTGCTCGAATAGGCCAAGTCTCACAGCCATACAACAAAACATCCCGTACTATAGCTTGATGCACACGTCCATTCAGAGATGCTAGTCTTCCGCTCTTTCCAGAACGTCCCTTCCTCATGGGTGTATGCCAGTTGAGCGCCAGTAATTACTACTAGTTTATTGCTGTCAGTTGTTGGGATGATTGTGGATTTACTATGTTTTTTTTTAGGTTACACGACCAATTTACGAGGTGTCTTGTTTGTATTTACTGGTATGCTGCTCACATTCATGGCTACGTCAAGGGTGACCTCATCAATTTTTAATATTATTTTAATGTTTCTGGTTCTAAGCATACTCGACATAAACTGCTCTTGCATATTGCTTATTTATATTACCTTATCGAATTCCAGTTGGATCTTGCCAACGCCGAGCTTGCAAAACACCAACAGCGTCACATCAAACAACATTTGGTCACAAAAGGGGACCTTTCGACCTCTGAGAACTCGGTCGTCCCACCTTATATGGGGCCGAAGACAATGTCTGAGCTGTTTCAACTCTCCGCCGCCGCTCTAGCAGAACGAAGGCGAATTGGCCAGTCAGCTGAAAGCGCCTCGACGCGCGGTGTCATCTCTCCGGCTACTTCATCAGTTGATTCAAGTGACATTGTTTCCACCCTCACTTCGTCGGAAGCGATGAAACGTCTGAATCTACACGTAGATCTTGACTCCGCTGGCGCAACCTCCCGAGCTAATAAGTTCTCTCTTGGAGACATTCCTCTCCCATCTGAGACAAATTCTGCGTTGCTTAAGCCAACCGCCATCAGCAACGAGGTGCGCCCATCTGCTCCGACAACCGTAGGCAGTGTGAACCCCGAGGAAGAATACGAAGTGCTGGATGAATACGAGGCCGCTAGTGATCAAAAGTTTGGAATCACAGCCAACCGACATGCAGAACCCGCCCATTCCAGTTCAGCACCGGCTGCTTCGAGCTCTATCGAGTATATCCCAACCACAATGGTGGAGACGCAGATTATTCCCTATCACTTAGTACCGCCCCACATGTTACCTGGCCCTAATGGTAGCCTACCTCCTGCATACTGTCCAGAAAATTATGCATGCTCCGCATCAGTCGCACCTTATTCTGTCGCCTACTCGCCCATGTCTGGTGCAGTTCCCTACTCCTTTGCTTGTCTGCCTAGTGTCCCCTACCCTCAAGTCCTCCATCCATCACAGCTTGGTCCACCGTACAACCCTGCGATCAACGCGGCCGTGCATCCTGTTAGCATCGAGGTCACCCCTCCACAAACTGCAGCTCGTGCCTATGTTCCTCATCCCCTACAACCTTGTGCGGATCCTCCTCCCTATCGTCCCTATTTACCGGAACCTGAGGTTGAACGACCTGCAGACTCTCCGAAACGAACAGAATACCATCCGTCTCATGGAAGACAACATCAGGAGTCGGACAAACGGTCTGGGTCTTTTCTTCACCCAAGGTTTAAAGTTAAATCGCGTTCTCCCCTGCGCTCCTTGTCATCCAGCAGCAGTTCACATGGGCGTCGCGAATCCTCAGATCGTCATTCTCGACATCATCGTTCACTGAGAACTCCCCCTCGTCGTGCTCGCAGTCCACATGAATTGCCTCACCCGTTGGAGCACTATCAGCGGTATCTGAAATCAGCACTAACATCTGACGAAGATACAGATGAAAGAGCTCCAACCTCTCATAGACATCAGAAGACTTCAGAAGATCGATACTCTACCAGTATCACCAGCCGATTGTTTGAGGACGGTCGCTTGATACGCTCTCGAACGGATAGTGACGTCGGTGGAAAGACACAATCCAGTAAAAATATCACGGAAGACCTGGATACACGTATCGCACGGATCATAGGTACTGCGACTACCACAAACAAGACCCAGACTAACTCCGACGTCAAAGATGTGACCAAAACCTCTGATATTCAGAAACCCCTGTTGGTCTCTCCGCCACCACCTCCCCCACCTCCCACTGCTTCCCAACGGGTCTTATTTACTCATCGTCCCCACCAAGGTATTTCCTCAGAAGCAAGAAACATCGTGAAACACGTACCATGTGCCCCCGTTTTGCATTCGCGCGGCCCCGCTCCTATGTCGAAACAACACCCCCCTCCGACACCAGACTCACCTCCTCCTCGTCGTTGTCTCCCCTCCGCCCAACCGCCGATCGATGCGGTCCATTCGATCGAATCACGTTTGAGCTCTAAGGCTGCCACACCCTCAACTACTTCCTCCACACAGCCTACGGTTTCCTCCAATCCTCTTACTACCTCAACAACTTCAACTTCCCGCCCACCCTCCGTCGGCGTTGTACCTTCAGAAGACGAGCATTCTGGTGCTCCACGAACTCGTGAAGATGATCGTGACCTTTACACTCTACTTGGTGTTTGAGTTCGTCGGAGCTCAATTATTTTTTTTCACCAATTGTATGTTTTTATCTGCTTTGCAATAGCAGTTTGAGGCTTGTCTTTGAAGAGGAAAAAAACAGCATTTCTTCCAGTGCAGTCCGTGCACTTGCGAATTGGGCTAATGTCCTGTTTTTCGTATGTGTCGTTGTGGTGCACATCGTCGCAAAAAATTTCTGCTCTATTTCTGATCGGTTCTTTTTTTGATGTACATTGTTTCCTTCCACCCCACTCTGTTTGATCTGTGCGCGTATTGTCGTCAGTCTGTGCACTTATCACGCTGTCCAACGCTGATAACTCGTCTTTCTCACTGCGTCGTTCGTTCGTTCGTCTGGTTTCCACCCGTGTTGATAAGTATTTCACTCAGCAGTTCGTTCCAGGCTGCCAGTCATAGATCATGCATCGAGATTTGCCGGTTGTCCGCTTCTCGGATTTCGTTCGTAGCTATGTCGTAAGGTTATCATATCGTCGAGCGTACGGAAACATCATAACCGATGAGCCAGATCTTGTTATGTGACAACAGTTGATTGATTGGAGATAGGCTTCGTCATTCTTTGGAAACCAAATTCAACATGCCCAAAACAGGGCAGGATTTTTTATCAAGCCGTGTAAATAAAACACTTCGAGGTAATGTAATCGTTAGCAAAGAAATCTGTAAAGGTCGGTCACGGGGTGCGCGTAACGTGAGTCCATTCTTAAGCTAAATGGGATTCCGCCACACTTTTAACAGTTTTACGGAGTGGGTGTCGAGCAGGTCAAAGATACTGTGACAAGAAGGCTCAGGACAGATGACGAAGAAAAAGTGGGGGGACAATGGGAAGGGCATCCACGTCAGTGGTAGACCTCTGCGCAATTTCTAAACATCAGTGAAGAGGGATGATTATGCGCTAGTCTTTTGCGGGACATCTCTGGGCGAGACTGCGAATGGACGTTACTCTATTAGGATTGCGGGAGGAAACCGTTCATCTGTAACACCCTTTCGGTGCCCAGCTTCCATGCCACCCGAAGGAAGAATGATGGCTCGGATACTGCCAGGTTGCCCAAGACCAGACAGGGGAAGTCGAGAGGCAGAGCGGGTCGGATTCGAACCACGTACCCTCTGGTCGGTAATTTCATTCCGGGAGACGTAGTCCCTGGAAAGCGTGGAAGCTGTAGATGGTCTCATAGCTGTGTCTCCACGTAAAAATAGCGTTCATTCTTTCATTTGGACGAGGAGTAATTCTTTGTTTTTGACATGTGAACTTGCAAAAGTTTGGAGAAGGGGTTATCATTACATAGCAGTTCGCTGTACATGGGGTTGTCCTCATGACGAATGAAGGGTGGTAGTCCCTAGCTTTCACTTGTTTGTGAATCAGTCGCTTCATTCTGACATTCATAAAAAAAATTATTGTGGATACTCATGACAATCTTTCGTATCATTGTAAACAGGGGATCTCTTGTAGCTGTCGTCTCTTTCGCGCTCAAACATTGTCCTGAAATTGCGATATGCCGCCTGTCTTTGTTTTCATTTGCATGCCCCTCAACTAGCTTGAATTAACCTCGCGTGATGGTAGACAAGCTGGGATTGTCCTCATCGGGTCATGGCTGGCGTCTTACCAGAATTCACATATTCATCGTAATGTGACCCTAATAATGATCACAAGTGGGTAACCGAACGCCGGGGTCACAGAATCAGACTGGACTAGATTAATGAAACCTTTCCCTTATATCCGGCCTTGCCTCAGGATCAGTACTCAGTCACGTGTTCCAGACGGACAAGCTGACTAGACGAAAATATGTAAACAGTCTTATTGCCAGCGTCCGCGATAACCAACCTTAAAAAGTACCGGTAGGATCAACCTGGTGAACTAGTGCGCTGGTTGTCTTAGGAACTCTCGACCTTATGAAGTTGATCGTTGGTGGACTGTGATTCTCACCCGGAGGAATTTTCTTCCTTGAAAGAATTTCGAAGGCATAGAAGCTTCAAGCTCTGAGGACCAGCGGCTGAAACACGAGTTGTTCGTATGAGTTTTGAGGGATCTACAACTCCCTATCATTTGGTTATGCTATCCACCAACCGCCAGATCTCAGATGTGCGGCTAGAGCACGCTTACTGTCACCGCAAGACGTGTTTCAATCTGTTTGGTGTTGATTCGAATTTCGCACGGGATAAGAACAGTATTTTGTCAGAGTAACCGTCCGAAGTTGGAACAGGGCTGTCCGTATTCCTCCGCGGTCTGTGCATAAGTCCCAGACTGGTATACAGTTGAAGCGCTTTAAATAGTTGCACCCCTTCCCAGTTGATTGCTGCATCTGGATTCTCCGCGAAGCCGGTTAGCGGAAACCATGACGAACATTCATGCGTGTGTGACCTGATGATGAAGGGAACGCAGACGACCACATACAATCACATATGCAGGGATCCTGGCATGAGATGGGATTGCTTGTTCAGGTCGTGCACCTCACATCTACCCTTCCAGGCTATGTTAGTTGCTGGACCAACTATCCATCCGTCTGTTGTCGTCTGCTCTTTGATAAACCCCAAGTGCCTGCTCACGACCGTTTGTGGTAAATTCAGTCTGAGTGACTCCGTGTCATCCATTCTGTCCACAACTTATCCCTTATTGTACGTTTTTTCGTGACTGCTTGGCTGTTTGTGAAATCACCACAAGGGAAGGTTGGTTATCCCTTAGCTGCCTTCCCGGGGCGTGTACTCTCTAGGCAAAACGGCGTTAGCCGATTGCACTTTTATGTTTCTATGATGCCGCTTGGGAACTTGAGCTTGTCATTCCCATCCGGTCTCTTCGAAGTGATGTTTGAGTTTCGAGGCTAGAAGAAGCTCAGTTGATAAGGCGTTAAATTACTGACCAGAAGGTCCGTAGTTTGAACCCGAACCCGGCTTCACGGTTGCTCTTGTCTAGGGCTGGGAAACCTGGTATTATCCCGGCCCTCATTTCACCTTCGGGTGGCTTGGTAGCTAGGCACGGAAAGGGTGTTGCAGATGAACGATAATTTATTCTACTTTTGAGTGACAAAATTAAAATAGCGAGGGAGGACATCCATATCGCGTTCATATTCATGCAGACTTGGCTGTTCTTTATTGCCTATGGATTAGAGCGAGGAAACAGGTTCATAGGGGGGAAAGGAGGTTAAGGATAACTTACGAATCGACATTCCAAGTTCCGAATTCGCTTCGGGTGTACTGTGGCCGACGTAAAACATGCACCGTTATGCACCGTTAGTGGCCGGTGTAGAGGGGAATTCTGTTCGAAAATATGTGAAAATTTGATCGCCCTCAGGGTTATCGATGTGATCCTTCAACACTGTTATGATTTTTGTTAGCTAATCTGGAAGATTTCATGCTTGCCTAAGTTCTTGCACACCTGGTCACCCTCACTGCAAACGGTAGTTAGGATTCACTGTCTCCCGCTGTCAACATTAGCGTTTGCGGTTGAACATCACCGAATGTCATCTGTCTAGACATATTCGATTGGTTGATCAAAACAGCCAATCAGAAAGCTCCTATGCGAGCCACTTATTGGCTAACAGTCACGCATAATACGCGGCATTACGTTGAGTTATTTTAACTAGTGCTGGGACGTTTCAAGACGCGCGTTTCGTTACGGCAAAACATACTTATGGGAATGTTGGTAGAAGATATGTAGGAACAGTTGATCATTCGTGTTCTTCCGTTCGTATCATCATATTGGTTACGAACAGAAACAATGTCTTGAATGTGGAAGGCCCATTTAAAGGTGCTTTGTGGATGTTTCCGTGCACCAAAGATCGACCGATATATTTATGCCGAATCTGATTTATCTAACAGTAAACATTACGAGACGCTTGTCTACTTGTTGTGGTGTAAGAAACGGAGCACTCGTTTGAAGTTTCGGCCAAAAATGGAGCTTGTGCTACAACAGATTTGAAGACTGCATTTTCTATCCGCTTCCGCCAAAAATGGAGCTTGTGCTACAGCAGATTTGAAGACTGCATTTTCTATCCGCTAACATTGTCAATGAATGTATCAAAGATATGGGCAAACTAGCTGAGTTCGTCATCAGTATTCCGGCTGAACTGCTGAGATATGCGGGTCTACTCACAGTTCTCTTCCACGTGGGAAAACTCTTGTTTATCTTCTCTAAAAGAAGGGTACATTCACTTGCACGAACTCTCTCCCTGTGGGAGTCGAATTATTCGCACCGACATTTCTTGATCTATTCTTTGAATACAGCCATTCATCTTACCCACTGTAAATTGCCAATACGTTTACAGTTTCCTGCATGAATATTTTGCTTGAATCCAGGTTTCCTGTAGACAGGGTGTGCCGCGCAATGATTTTAGTAGGCACCGCTTTTAAACCTCTGGTTTTTTTTAGCAAATTGGTGGGTGGACAAGTTCATTTACTCGAAAACAAGGTTTGTCAGTGTGCTGGAGTAGTGGTAGAGTGAGTGCATTTATCGGTAATTGATCCACTCACCTTGGTAGGTAACTGAGATGCAAACGCTTTGCCAGCGTTCGAGAAAATATCGGTGTGCTCTTGGTTTGTTAGTTCCAATCTTCATACTGGTTAACATATATTGTGTGAGGGGTCCTAGTCTCTAAGATGATTGGCTGCTAGTGAGCCACTCCACTCAAAATCTGGTTGGTCCTTTCGCGAGCTGCCCTTCTTGGACCTGATTGGTTTATTACACATTATCTCCGTTTTCATTGTTTTCTTTTCTGATTGCCCCTTCCGTGATCTACATAGTGCTGTGGTCTACGTTTTTGTTCGCTTGGTCGACTGTGGTTTTCTGTTTTCATTCTCATTAGTTTGTCTTGTTAGACTCGCTTGACTGATTTGCAGAGTTTCCATTGTTTTGACCTTCTTAGTTCTCTGATCTCTCATTCTTTTTAGAAATCCACTAATTGGTAGTTTGAATCTGGACCTTTTTCCTTCTGGTTCTATTTTTTCTTTCTCGTACGGCTCAAAGTTTGATGGTCCTGAAACTTCTTGGTCTTCAGAGATTTATAGACGAAATCGGGGTACCGTAATTTCGTTCTAGTATTGTGCTGCCTTATCATTCATTCCGGACAGTCGTACAGCCAGAAATTTTACTCATTTTTAAAGTATGGTGAGTGAGGGAGGTAGGGACTTGAGGCTAGCCGATCGCAAGAATCCCAAGGTGCCTGCATTTCTCTCCGGATGCCAGCCATCCCTAATAACCGAACATCACACCATTTGGACGGGTGTGTCACGTGCAGGACACGGACCAAACGAAGGCATGCCCTGATTGGTCAGAATGCCAGCCAATCTGAGTCGAGCCTCCTTGACTCGAAGCTTCTCGCCCCCTCACGAAGATTCTGGCACGACCTTGTGGGACACTGTGCTCACCCTATAAATGCAGTTGTAATAATTTTACTTTGTCTCCATAGACGGTTGTGTAGAGCTACCGTACCTTTTGGTATATCGTAGTGGGCGGAGCAGGAAGCCAACGGACCAATACAGAGTTGCACTACCGTCCAGAAAGTCACAACGATTTCCAAGCGTACAACTAGACAATCTGAAA